GGTGGTGTGAGTAATTTCGATTTCTGTTTCTGATGCGCTCTTTCCGTTTCTGTGCTGGGCCCAGGTAACGGAAAGAGCGAGGTACGAGCGATGACGTTGTGTGTTGGGCGAAGCCCCTTAAGGGTGGGTTCCAGGGGGGGGGGGCGTAGCGCGAGAGTTTCAGTTCTAATGGCCGTTTTGGTGGTTTTCCTTTGGGCTTTTCATGTTTTTTGCATTCCCCCCCAAGACGGCCCACGAGCGCTCCAAGAGAGCCCAAGACCGCCCCAGACGGCCCAAGAGGGCCCCAAGAGGCGCTCAAGGGGCGTCCCAAGAGGGCCCCAAGAGGCCAACATCATCGTTTTTTCCAAAGGAAAACGTATATGTTTAGCATATACGGCTTTTCGGCTTTCACGGCGTTGACGACGGCCCAAGAGGCCCCCAAGACCGGCCCAGGACGGCCCAAGAGGCTCCCAAGAGGCCCCCAAACGGCCCGAGAGGGCCCCCAGACTGCCCAAGAGGCGCCCCAGACGGCCCAAGACGGCCCCAAGAGGGGGACCCCGAACCCGAAAGTCGAGCCTTTCGGCCCAAGACGCTCCAAGGAGGCCCCCACAGACCCCCAAGAAGCCCCAAGAGGCCCTCAAGAGGCGTCCCACGAGGCCAACAGGAGGCCAAAATCATAGATTCTCGATTGGGAAAACGTGCATTTTTAGCATACACGGTTTTTCTGCCTTCACGGCGTTGACGACGGTCCAAGAGGCCCCCAAGACCGCCCCAAGACGGCGGCCCCCAAAACGGCCCAAGAGGCACCCCAGACGGCCCAAGAGGGCCCCAAGACGGCCCCAAGAGGAGGACCACGAACCCGAAAGTCGAGCCTTCCGCCCCAAGACGCTCCAAGGAGGCCCCCACAGACCCCCAGGAAGCCCCAAGAGGCCCCCCAGAGGCCCCCAAGAGGCCACCAGGAGGGCCCGAAAAGGGCCCCAATAGGAATCCCACGCAGGCCCAGAGACGCCCAGAGCGATCGGTCACGCAAAAAGCTCTTCACACCAAGGCTCCCAAGAGCGAACGGTGACGTGAACAAGCTGATAAGACCAAGGCTCCCAGCAGGGAGCGGTGACGTAACAAGTTCCTGACACCAAGGCCCAGCCAAGGCTCAGGAACGGGCGGCAACGCAACCATCTCTGAACCCCAAGGCTCCCAAGAGCGAGGAGTGACGTAACCAGCTCTCAACGCCAAGGCTCCCGGTACGAACGGTGGTGTGAGTAATTTCGGTTTATGTTGCTGCAGCGCTCTTTCCGTTTCTGTGCCGGGCCAGATCGATTGGCCTTCGGCCCATCCCGCCACCGTGCTTGGGTTGTGGTTCAGGGTCCTATTGGATGAGTGTTTGGATCTCGTGAGAAGCCTCTTGGGGGCGTCCTGGAGGCAGTGTGGAGGCCTCTGGAAGCCTTTTGTGGAGCCTCGTAGACCCTCATGTGGGCCTCTTGGGGCTCCTTGGGGGCCTTTTGGGGCCTCCAAGGAGCTTTTTTGAAGCAGGAAGCTCGAATTGTTGGTTCGCGTTCCCCCTCTTGGGCCCTTGTTGGGGCAATCTTGGGGCAATCTTGGGGCCTTCGTGGGCTGTCCAGAGGCTCTCTTGGGCCGTCTTGGGGCACTCTTGGGGTCCTCTTGGGCCATTTTGGCGCGGTTTTGGGTGCCTCTTGGGCTGTCGCAGAGCGTCGGAAGCCCGAAAAGACGAGAAGGCCAAAACCTTGTGAAAAAAATGCAACTCATTGGTTTTGGCCTCTTGGGGCCCTCTTGGGAGGCCTCTTGGGGCGTCTTGGAGGCCTCGATGGCCGTCGTGCGCCAATCTTGGACGTGGTGGAGGGTTCTGGTGCTGTTTTGTAGGCCTTCTGGGCGCTTCTCGGGGCCCTTTTGGCAATCTTGTGGCCATCTTGGGGCCCTCTGTTCCGCCGTGGGGCGTTCACCTGGGGGGTCGTGCGTGGCCATGGGGTGGTCGAATTCCCAGTATGGGGCCCCTGGGGGGGGATAAGGGGGGGAGCAATCTCACACGCCCAAAGATCCGCAAGGGGTCGGCGGATCTCGTGCCTGCCCGAGTCACCGACCTGCACTGAAGCTCTCATCGGTAAGCATCATCGCGGCCGCATCAACTGTGCCAAACCAATTGGCCGCATTGCGCGCGGGGGTGCGCACACCAGTGCGGTCGCAGAGACGCGCCAGCCAGTGCCAAGCAGTTCAACGCGGCCGCGTGTGTTTTGCAAAACAAGTTGCAGGCGAAAGGGTGGGATGTGTGCGCGAGCACTTGCTTTGACAAATTCGTGTTGGCCTGGTTACTTGCACCGCAAATATTGCATCACATAGCTTGCACCACATAGCTTACACCGCTGAGCTTCAACCACATATCTCGCACCACCTAGCTTGCATCACACATCTTGCACGGCAGCTTGCACCATCTATCTATATGTGTATGTATATATATAGTACAACGATGAAAGAACACACATATATCTGTGTGTGCATGAGGATTGCGCCGCCTACCTTGCACCACCTAAGTGGCACCGCAAAGCTCACATCACGTAGGTTACAGTGTTGGTACCACACAACTGGCACCACGTCTTACGCGTACACCGAGTGCGTCATACTTGTTGCGCCAGATAGTTTTAACAGCCTCACGCATACCACATCGCTGACAACACACTGATTGCACCACATGTTAAACCAGATGGCTTGGACAACATGCATTGCACCTCATAGCCTGCGCCGCATATGCGACACAAAGCTTGCACCACATGGCTTGCGCCACGTAGGTGTCACAAGACAGCTCGCACCACTTAGCTCACAGCGCGTAAATTACATTACATAGTTTACACAGCAGAGGTCACACCATATCGAATGCTCCACGTAGATTGCACCACGTTTCTTACACGCCCGCAGTGCCAAACACCAAACGCGCCAGTTCACTGCCTGAGGGGTGCGCGATGGCAAACCTATACATGGATACATGTGCATATATGCAAACATGTGCCGTTCGTTGTTTGATTGAGGTAGAGGATAGAATGAGGAGAAGAGAATGTTTCGTATGCCTTCCCCCTGCATCAGCATCATGTCCCCCTCATCTCTCTTAACCAGACAGGAGGAATCGAGAGGGATTTCTTTATCCGGGCAGGGATGAGGACCAGAAGAGAAGTGTATTGATATGCGCTCGATTGCACATTAGCAGGAGATTGAGACCATGAGGAGAGGGAGAGGATGAACAATCCAAACGGCGAAAGACGTGCGGCGAGGAGAAGGAGGACAACGTTTGATCGTGCGACGCCCATCGTATGTACATGCACGCATGTCTACTACACACGTATATGTAAAGATATGCATCGATGTGTTACTCTAGATATAACTAGATACACCCATCACATACTCATATCTCGCGAAGGCAGTAGCACCCAACAGTCTTGCTGATACCAAGTAGCTGCTCAGCGTATTCATGGTGACTTTCTCCCGCCCTCGGGCGGGCAGCACACAGAAACTGTTCACCAGTGGGAGGGGAAGGGAGGGAGGGTCCGGCCCGAGACGGCGAAGATAATGTGTTCGAGGGGTTCGCGTCATCGGTGACGCACGTCATGTGTAAGTTTTGTCTGTCGAAGCTCTGCTGTGTAGGCTGTCGGTATACGCTGCTGCCCACCCATGCAGCACAGCAGCGACGAAGGTCTGGAACCCACAGAACCTACCACCACTGCCAGAATCAACTAAACTGATATCCTCCGCCGACGCCCATTATGAAATCCGCCAAGCCCTTGTGGCGAGGCCACGGCGTGCAAGGCAACGAATGTCCATCCAAGCTCGTGACATGGTGATTTTTAATTTAGAAATTCCCAAGTCTTTTCATATTTTGGGGTTTTGTCAATAACCGCAGAAACAAGCCACATATGTTCGACGATTTTACCGAGCTCCAAGAATGGTATGTGCCATGTCGGGGTACTCGCACATCCTCTCGGCCAGCTAGCTGTTTGTGTTGCTAGACATGCGGGAGCAGATAATATACGCAATCTGTACACGGCCGCTCCATGTCGTGTCGACGCGGCGGCGACGCCAGCGCGGTCCTTCAAGATTGGTGATCGCTACTGGCCCAGAATCGGCCGTCACCGAACGGCCTCTGCTGTTGGAAGGCCGCGATCGCCCTCTCCAGGCCGAGCGATCCACGAAGCGCCAGACACCCGTGCGCAGAGCGTCTCGGCACGAGCTTGCCGCAGTTCCGAGCAGGAGGCAGCAGGATCGGGCCCAGACATGCGACGTCTTGCTTGTTTCAGGACGCCGTCCCCGGAAGTCCCGACCCTCTCCCCGGGACCGGTTTTTTATCTCGAATCGTCTTTTTTTGACGGTCCCGAGGCCCGGCGAGGGCCCCCCGAGGCCGAAACTGGCCAAAAACTTCCCGTCCTGATTTTGGTCACGACGCGATCATGTTTGGTGTTTGGGGGGATCCTTGGGCAGGACGTGGTCAGCAAGCGCACCACCAGCGGCGCAGGCGGCAGGCCCGCCGCGGTCCCGCACCGGAGCCCCGCGCCCGCCAGCGGAAGCCCCGGCCCCGGCGGCCAGGCCCGCGGGGTCGCTGGGGCGCAGCATGCCGCTGCGGGCGAGCAGCCCGAGCCGCCTCCGCTCCCGTCTGATGGGCTTGTTTTCCACCACCACCACCACCCCAAGTCGGAGGGAGAGGGGGTCCTCCTCCTCCTCCTCCTCCTCCTCCTCCTCCTCCTCCTCCTCCTCCTCCTCCTCCTCCTCCTCCTCCTCCTCCTCCTCCTCTCCTCCTCCTCCTCCTCCTCCTCCTCCTCCTCCTCCTCCTCCTCCTCCTCCTCCTCCTCCTCCTCCTCTCCCTCCAACTGATGGTGGTGGTGGTGGAAAACAGGCCCATCACCGTCCCAACCCGCCGCCGAGCAGGGCGCCCCCGCCCCGGGCCAGGCTGCGCCCCCGGCGCAGGCGGGCGCCCAGGGTGCGGCAAGCAGGCAGGCGCTGGCCCCTGCTGCGGGCTCCGGCGCAGGGCCGCCGCCCGCGGGCGGCCCAGGGGGCGCCCCCGCGGGCCCCGAGGGCGGCCGCACCAACGCCGCCGCGGGCTCCGACGCCCGCGCGCAGGCATCGAGCGTCGACGTGGACCACCTCGGCGACGTCGACGGCCGCCGCGTTGGCGCTCAGGTGCTCCTCCCCCGCGGGCAGCACGGCACCCCCGAGCTGGGCCGCGCCCGTACCACCCTGAGCCCCCGAGGCGGCCGGGGCGAGCCCGTGGGCCCTGACGTCCCGCAGGAGCTTGTCGTCGAGCGCATCCCCACGGCAGACGGGGGCATGCAGCAGCGGGCGCCGTCTCCGCTTGTGCCGAACTCCGCCGGGCTGGACACGGTGCCGCCCTGGAAGCGGCGCCCAGACACCATTGGGAGTCAAGCCTTGACCGTCAGGTCCCTGTCTCCGCGCCCGTCCTCGACCGCGGCGAGCCAGCCAGATGCCAGCCCGCAGTCGGCGCAGGGCGGCGTGGACGACCTGCAGGCCGTTGGGGGGCCCCCAGCAGGCAGCACCGGCGTTGCGAGGCAGGCCCTGGTTTCGAGAGGGGAGCACCCGGGTCCAGGCGTGCAGCCGCTCCCGCCGTCGCACAGCACTCCCGCGCTGAGGGGAGCGGCCCCAACTGGCTGGGGCGCGCGTGTCGGCAGCGCCTCGGCCACGATGCCATTGCGACGAGACTCTCTCCCGCTGATAAGAACCGCACCCGCCTCCGTGTTCGCGGCCGAAGCAGGGGCCGCCGCCCGTCCCCGGGGGAGGGCGCTTGCCTCCGCGCCAGCGGGCGAGGCAAACCTGGAGGCTCCGCAGCCTCCGCCGTCGCAGCAGCGGGCTGCAGCACCACCAGGGCCGCCAGAGGGGTCCTACATCGGACCGAGGCCAAACACCACGCACTGGTTGCCCAGAGCCGACGTCGCGAGCCAGGGGCGACTGTCCAGTGTGGCGCTGGAACCACTGCCGCAGGGCGCGCACACGCGTGGCGCCGCAGCGGGGCCAGCCGCGGCGTTGCCGACTGCGGAGATGGTGGACCATGCTTCGTTTGGCGTCACGGCCCCTGCTGGCCTCTCCCCGGTGCCGCCGTGGCTGCGAGACCAGCAGCAGCAGCAGCTGCGCGGGTCCACCGTGGGCTCGACGTCCACCATGGACGCGGCGACGTGGCCAGAGTGGAGCGAAGCCTGGCGCAGGCACACAGCGGGAGACTGGAAGGCACCCGCCGGGCAGCAGTCCTACCTGCCCGCTGGGCGCGGCTGGGGAGAGGCCGAAGGCCACGCGCATGGCACCCTCTCGCGGGGGTCACCGTCGCGGAGTGCGTCGCGGGAGCCCTCGCCGCCGAGGGCGCCCTCCCCGCAGAGGTTGCCCAGGGCGGGCGCGCTCTCCAAGGCACCCGCCCTCGCGAGCCTGCCGCGGGGCCGCAGCAGGGCGGGCGACTCCGCGGAGCTCGGCGTCCGGGTCTTGGCCAGCCAGTCGAGGATTGCGACCAGCGCCTAGCTGCGCGCCAGCCCTCGCCCGCTCCGGGTCCTCACCGCGCCCTTCCGGCCCTGCTGGCCCCTTGCAGGAGCCGTGGCGGACGCACGGGGGGGGGCCGGGAAAGCCAGGGGCCACGACACCAGTGATGGACTGGCCCAGGGCGGGGGCATCGACCCCGCGTCGCCCAGTCGTCGCCGATCGAAGCAAGGGTGCCCAAGCCTCGCCCAAGCGCGAGCGGCTCTCGGGGTCATACGGCCGATCCATCGGTGATGCACCGCCGATTCCAGGGCAATGGCCCCCCCCTCCCGAGCCACCTCCGAAGGGGGGGGAACGAAATCTGCTGCACGCGGCTGGCTTCGGCCCCGCCGCCGGGCTCCATCCCCCGACGCGCGGCCGCCTCTGGCACCAGGGAGGCGCTGGGGAGACCGGCTTCGTGCAGCCGATTCGCGGACCCCCCCCCTCCCGAGGGCTGCCCCCCCTCGTGCGCCCCTGTGCGCTCCCTCCGCCTCCTCCACCCGGGCGACGCGAGGCAAAGCGGGCCCAACTGCGCCGACAGTCGCGCGTGAGCTGCTCCGCGCGCAGCTCACGCAGGGCCGCGCGGGAGAGCCCTGGGCAGCGTGCCGCGCTGGCGGCCCGCGTGAGCCACCGCCAACAGGGCGCTGTGCCGTCTCGCGCATGGCCCGTTTTGGATCGTCGCCCACCTCCTCCACGGGCCTCCCGACGCCGCGGGCGCAGGACAGCGGGGGGGGGGGCTCCCTCGAGCGTCGGGCCCCCAGGGAGGGGGGGGCGCCTCTCGGCCCCCCCTGGGGGCCTCTATCTCCAGCGGGCCAGGAAGCACTCCCGGAGGCGGGGCCCACGAGGTTCGCGACGTCGGAGGCCCGGGCCTTTCGGCGCGTCGCCCTCCCCCCGCGCACCCGCGGCGGCGACGGCAAGAATTCGGAGGCGCCCGCTCGTTTGTTTTTGTTGGGGCCCGGCGTTTCCTCGGCATATGGTCCAGGAGGCCGGCCAGGGCGTCTCCACGGCGTGTCGTGCAGTGGCCCGAGGTGTGTTAGCTGACGTGCCTGCTGTAGAAGCCACGGCCCCCTCCTCCTCCTCCTCCTCCTCCTCCTCCTCCTCCTCCTCCTCCTCCTCCTCCTCCTCCTCCTCCTCCTCCTCTTCCTTGTCCTCCTCCTCCTCCATTTCCTCCTCCTCCTCCGCTTCCTCCTTCTCCTCGTCGTCTGCTTGCATTGGATGGCCACCGAACGGGCACCACCACTCGCAAAGTGCCTACTCGCAAACGTCCGCAGAAAGCGGAGGTCTGCCTCGGTGTGAGAGATCGTGAGGCCCCCGCGGCGGATCCAGGCCGTCTGCGAGCAGCTGCTCTGCGAGCCGTGGAGCGCGCTTGCCCAGAGGAGGGCCCGTTGAGACCTCGGCTGCTGCCCCGCAGGGCCCACGCCCGCTCTCCAGTGCCGGCCCGACGCGGAGCCGGCCGTGGCGAGGAGAAGCCCACACGGGCGGCCAGCAGGAGAGCGAAGCGCGCCGGGGAGGGCAGCCGCTGCCTCGACCGGGCCCTCCCTCTGAGACCTGACGCTGCAGAGGAGGTGCAGAAACTCCGACTGTTGGCGCTCCGCGCGGACTTCTTCGAGCCGCACTGGGCCCCTCCGGCGGCGCCTCGGGCGCCGCCCCTGGCGCGGTCCGCGCGCCAGGGAGGGGAGTACCCGCGCGGATCAAAAGGAATCCGCGCGCAGCGCCAAACGTTTCTGCTTCTGCCATGTTTGTCCTGCCTCGATAGGTGCGGCATACGGCGGACAAAACACGACCAGAGCTCTGGACCCCCTCTCTCGGCACTGCTGCTCGATCGGTACCGATGTCCGTGAGGGCCCCCCACGGCCCGCAGCTGGGCGAAAGCACGCCTGCCGTGGAAGGACGGCGACGCCAGGCTTCCCAGGGCTCCTCTGAGTGCAGTTCTCGCCGACCACACGCAGAGGGGGGGTAGGGTTAAGTCGGGCGTGTCCGTGGAAGGATGGCGACGCCAGGCTTCTCGGGGCTCCTCTGAGTGCAATTCTCGTCGGCAACGCGCAGAGGGGGGTAGGGTGAAGCCGGGCGTGTCCCTCAAAAAATGGCCTGGAGACGGTGTGTCGATGAGTTGTTCGACTATGTTTGAGTACGTTTTGGCTATTTCTCATTTCTGTAGTCCAAAATCCGCCTGTAGGAAGGAGGACAGACCTGACCTAAGGATAGGGGGAGGGGGGAAGGCTTCGTAGAAGGAGGCTGCTTCTCAGACGGCACGGGCCTAGCGTCTCTAGACGTAGCGCCCGCGCTTTATAAGAGGCAGACCTCTTTTGAGAAGCCTTTTCCCCTTCCCCCTACCCCCCTCTGCGCGCCGCCAGCCGATGGCAACAAAGTGAAGATCGGCTGCGGAATCCGAGCCCTATCTTCTTCGCCGATCAGCGATTCAGGTAAAACTCGATGGGCGGCGGGGGTGGGGTTCGGAACTCGTCGAACACGTGGCGAAATCTGGACCCGACCCCTAGCCCCCGTCGATTCAGGAGAGCCGGTGGTTGGTGGAGGTAGGGTCTCGGCATCGCTCGGACGTGTGCCCTTGTTCTCGCCGGTACCATCGAGGAGGATCTTGGATCATCTTGCGGAAAGGTACACGCGACACCGACACGTGCACGGGAAGTGGACGTCCGAGCGATGGCAAGGGGTTCGGATGTCGCCACCTAGAAGAGTCGGGCCGTTCAACGGCGGCGAGCGAGGGGGGGACGCGAGAAGGAGAAGGCCCTCTTAGAAGGCGGCGGGAGTTCTCAGGAGCCCTCGCACACTCTCCGAGAACGCTCTCTGACTCCGGGGATGGCTAAGAACACTTCTCAGAAGGCCGGGGCACTTCCGAGCCTTCTGAGGAGGCCCGCCTCTTCCCCTCCTCTTCCTGCTCCTCCTCCCCCTCCTCCCCCTCCCCCTCCTCCCCCTCCTCCCCCTCCTCCTCCTCCTCCTCCTCCTCCTCCTCCTCCTCCTCCTCCTCACTTCCCCCCCCTCGCTCGCCGCCGAGTTCAATGTTGCCCCCGGCCGCTCCCCGCCCCCCTGCGCGCCGCGGGCGGGCCGCCCCCGCTGCCTTCGGGACAGGCCCGCCCTCCCCCCACGCCCGGTGCCCGTGGCGCGGCGGCCCCCTCGCCGCGGGGGGGCTCTCCGCGCGCGCCGTCGAGGGCGTCCTGCATGCGGGCCGCGGTCGTCGCCTGCGTCTCACCTCCCGGGGGCAGCGTCACGGCGGTCGATTGGGCGCCGCGTAATGGGGGGGTCATAAATGGGGGGGTGGCGAGGGTGGTCCGAAAAGGTACCCAAACGGTACCTAAACGAGCCCCCTGGGGCTCTGGAGGGGCCCGAAAGGGGCATGAAAGGGGACCTTTCCTGACCCCCCCATTTGCGACCCCCCCATTAAGCCACGCCCAAGTCGAGGAAGAAAAACCGAGGCCTCCCCGATGGGGTCGGAGTGGACGGGGTCGGAGGATCGCGCCGCGTCGCCGGTGCAGCGCCGATGCGGCTCGATACGGAGCCCGATTTGCTCCACGTCGACGTCGCCGATGCATCGGCGATGCGGCGCGAGCCTCCGACCCTATCTACTCGGACCCCATCTAGGAGGCCTCTAAAAGATCCTCGCAGGCTTTGGAGATCCTGGAACGTATCCTGAGCCAGCCTTACCATGACAACATTCTCTCCCTGAGCGACACGGTGGTCGAAGAAGAAACACTTGCATCAACACACACTTTCGGCGGTCCACGCGGTTTTCTTGGATCGACGCTTGGGTCCCCCCTGGCGGCGCCTCTGACTGTGCCTCTGGCGCCGCCCTGGCACCGCCCCGGCGCGCTCCGCGCGCCAGGGCGGGGGTTTCAGCGCCGATCCAAGACATCTGCGCGAAACTCCGAAAGTACATGTTCATGCTGTTTCTGTTCCTCTAGATCTGGAATCCTGAGAAAAAGAATCCAGGGTCTGGAAGCCGGGGGAACACCAATCGAGTCTTGGCCATGGACATCACCGCCGCCTTCGTTCGACAAGAAACCCTCCAGGGTCTGGAGCTTCCTGGGCACATTCCTGGGCACATTCCAACGCACTGCAATTGGGGGCGGACAGGCCCAGGGGGGAGGCACCGAACCCAAGTCGCCCAGTCATCGCCGGTAGGGGCCCCGACAGCCCCAACAGCCCACCCCGCCCAGGAACGAGCTGATTCGCTGGGGCCGCTCGTCGATCTACCCGCGGTGCATCGCCGAATCCAGGTCGATGCATCCCCCCCTCCCCCCTGAGCCTGCCTCCCCCCCCCCCCCCTTGTCGCCGCCCCTCGCTCCAGCGGCGGGCTGGACTGCCGCCCGAGTGGAAGGGGGAGCCCGTGAGGTGCGGGCCCCCAGCTTCGGAGGGCGCCAACTCTCATGCACCCACACAAGGGGTGTATGTATATATATATATATACACAAGTACATATATACTTTGCCTTGCAACCTTCTATATTTATATATGTACATACATATAAGAAAAACTGATACACCCACACCAGCCCTGGCAAGGCCAGTGCTGGACCCAGCATCGGTGTATATGCCCTCCCAGGTCCTGGGCCCAGGGTGGGCACTGCGAGTATCGGTGTGGGTGTATAGTGGGCGCCCTCCTGCAGCTGCGTTCTCGAACCCGACACCCCTGGCCGCCTTCGAGCCACGGGATGTTCACGGCCAGCGGCGCAGGTGGTTCGCTTGCTGCCACTCCATTGAGGATGACATTTTGCGGTGCATCTTCGATGGGGCACTGTCTGTGCTGTCGCGCCGTTATCCGCGTCGGATTCACGTCGAGTCCATGTAGAGCGTCGAAGTCATGCCGAAGCTGCATCGAGCCCGCGTCGGACACAAGAAAAGACAGCTCATTTCAGGACAGGCGAGGCCCCCCGAAGACGCAACGTCAGGAGTGCTGCGGCCGCAGCCAACAACAACAAAAACGTCGTTTGTGTTTCACCTTCTGCTGGCCGGTTGCCTCTCTCGGGCGGCGGACCGCTACAGGTTCCCGTGCGGGGTGCAGGCGTGTCTTTTTGGTGCGCAGGCCACCGTGGAAGCGGCGGTCGTCGCAACCGGGTCGGCGCCTTCGCGCTCGCTTGGAGAAAAAGAGCTCCGCTCGGCGCTGCCAGCCCACCAGCGAGACACCTGTTGCCCGTCTGCGGTTTGCTGCTGTCGCACTGCTGCTGTCGCCGGTTCTCCCGTTCCTGCTCGCCCTGTTCGGCCGCCCGCCCCGTTGCCCTGCTGCTGGTCGATCTCCCCTCGTGTTCCCCCCTCCCCTCCTCCCTGGGCCCCCCCCAGCCCGCCAGCTCCCCCTCCGCCTGCTCCGCCTTCGTCGTGGCCTCGGTTTGTGTGCCTCCTTGTTGCGCGAGCATCCGCCTCCTCGTCGTCCTCCTCCTCCTTCTCCTCCTCCTCCTTCTCCTCCTCCTCCTCCTCCTCCTCCTCCTCTCTTTCTCCTCCTCCTCCTCCTCCTTCTCCTCCTCCTCCTCCTCCTTCTCCTCCCCTCCTCCTCCTCCTCCCTCCTCCTCCTCCTCCTCCTCCTCCTCCTCCTCCTCCTCCTCCTTTCCCTCCGCATCCTCCTTCTCCTTCTCCTCCTCCTCTTCCTCCTCTTCCTCCTCCTCCTCCTCCTCTTTTTGACTCCGCGGTTTGCGCCGCGCCACCCCGCTGCCTCCCAGCACCCATCTCCGTGCCTCTCAACTTTGCCGCCCAGGGCGACTTGCAGGACATCGAGCCCCCGCTGACTACCCATCTTCGGAGGTCATTGGGCCGCGCGACTCGGGCTGCAACTGGCCCCGATGGGCTCCGCTATGCCAGGTGGAAGCATGAGAAAGGAGTGCGGGGCCTCATGCAGGTCTGTCGGCATCTCTGTCTCGGAGGGCCATGCCGTCGTCTTTCACTGCCCTGCTGGCGGTTTTCATCCCGAAGCCTATTGAAGACGGCGTGCCCCGAGCCCGGTGAAGGCGGAGTCTGGAGAGCCCTTGATGATAACAGACCCCTAGGAATGAAGAGCACAGCGAACAAGGCCACACGCTCGATGCCCAACGGCAGTTTCCAAACGGCGGCGCAACAGATCGCGCCGAAGTCTCCGAAAGGTTCCATTCGCGGTCGGAGCCTTGAGGATAACATCGCGACCCTCGACATGAACGCAAGGTCCGCGAGCGTTCGGTCGCACTCACAGCCTCAGGAGACCCCCGCGACGCTCGCCCTCGACTTCACCCAGGCGTTTCCGCATGCGCGTTGTTGCCCCCGTCGGTTTCGCGTCCCAGGCGTGTTTTTGTT